ACCCTAAACTCTCCAGTGGTGTATCAGAGAGTGCGATTTTCCCATGATGGCGTGAGAGAAAAAACAGGTGAGTCATTCATCACTGAGGGGATGTCACACACACACACACACACACAAAACACACACACACACACACACACACACACACACACAGCTTTATGCAAATATGGTTTAGAGGAATAAAAGTATTCGCGAAATCGAACAAAAGACTCTGGAGGACGTCGTCGTTGTCTTGTGGAAGTGGTCACATGACCGCGTGTTCCCTGGATCGGGTGCGGCGTGTTGGATTCAAACAGACGACATCACACACACGGTTAACCACTTTAATGTCGCCCAAACACACGGGAACCTGCAGCCGACCCGCGAACAGGAATTCAAACGCATCCTCGCCACTTCCTGTCTCCGTCACATTTTGGTCCCGTGTGGGTTTCATCATCGACATCATCGCGGGCGCCGCCTTCACCTCCGTCAACATCTTTAAATCACATTTGACATCATATTCTGATGTTTTACAGTGTTTATTTTACATGTGTGCACAAGTCTGAACAAAACACGGCTCAAAATGCACCGGGTAATTAGCATAATAGCAATAATAATGCTAATCAGCATTTTCACATCATCGACAATTAGCTTCACTGACTCGACTCCGTCATCCTGCTGCATCCTGATCTTCATCAGAATGATTGTAATTATCTTAAGTTGAATCACAGCATCATTAACGTCACCACCGCCGTCTTCATCGTCACACACACACACACACACACACACACACACACACACACACACACACACACGTCACTGGACACACAGTGTATAGAAGCAGGCAGGCCCATTAATTCATATATGGCTCAATTATTAACACCAAAGCCGCGTCTAACCAATGAGGAATAATTCAGAAAGGTCTGTTTAAGGCTCCAGACTTTATTCATTTCAAGTCCTTTTTTTCACGTCTCCAAATATTTGGGTTTATTCTTCAGGTGCTTTGTAGGTAAACTTTTTATTGATTTAAACCCTCCATCACTTTGTGAGATTCGGCATCGTAGACTCCGGAACCGGTTAAACTGTCCATTCGCCCCCCCCCCCCCCCCCACCCCGCGTTGTGGTAAAAGTTTCTGTTGGAACTGAAACAAGTCGAGCAGGAATCCCTAAAGTCCTGATCGCAGATCTCGTCCCAAAGAATCCGTCCGTCTTAAACTCAGAAGGGCCACACGTAATAACTGTGACACGATGCTGCAGTCAGTTCCTCTGCTGAACGTCTCCAGTGGAGGACGTCACCTGCACAGAGAGACCCTCCGTCCTTCAGGGGGACAAAGTAAAGGGAATGCTTCAAAGCTGTGGTGTCATTTCGGAGACCATGAGCCTCGTCCGACAGCTTTCTGGTTTTTGTGTTTTATGAAACGAATGCAATTTAAATTTGTCAACTTTCTGATCTCTGATTTGCCTCCATGTGATGCAGCTACTTTCCTCTGACTGCAACCTTCTTATACATTATATTTAGATATTTCCATTCAGAAGTAAAACTAAAAATGTATGGATGGAAACACGAGGGAGTGGACATGAAAAACGTGTGTAATTGATCGCTCAGGTGTGGTGGAGTGAATTTATGTTCCCTTGTGGTCGATCTGTCCGCATTGCTAAACCTTGACTCCTCGGCTGCGTCCCGTCATGCAAGAGACATCTCTGGTCTCAGTAGTTTGTCTCCACATGCAGCGTTCTCTCTCTGTGCGTTGGAACCGTCTCAGCTTTTTAAAAGCTTCTCGTGTTTGAAAAAGGAAGCGGGGCTTTTAGATCCTGAGAGGAAGCTGCGGCGCTCTTTAGATTCAGGGCCGAGCCGGTTAATGAGTCCTCTGAGGGCCGTGATGGGAGGACAGCGAGTCCTGCTGGTGGTAATTACGTCCGTGTTCAACGGCCGACGTGCAGGCCGCTGGTCGATCGGCCGTTAAACGCCGGCTGGCTTCACGCCGCCGACACAGGAAGGTCGGACTCGAGCTGCGGTGCGTCCCCCGTTGGAGAGGACACCAGCTGAATGTCTCGGGGGGCCATTTAGCCGGCTGGGGAATTCTGAGGCGAGTCGCTAGCTAACAGTTAACGAACCGCTAGCTGGCCGAAGAAATAAATATTAAAGGAACATTTGTTGTCTTTAAAAGAAACCACAGTAGAGAAACCAGTCCTCTCGTCTCCTCGCTCACAGGCTGCTTCTGAAGGCTAGCAGCCGGCTAGCAGCCGGCTAGCAGCCAGCTAGCAGCCAGCTAGCCGAGTTTGGGGCTCAGAGGTTTGCGGAGCCACTGGTAGAACTGCCGCCGGTGGAGGCGGTGCCAGCGCACGTTGCCCTCGACGATCTCCAGCGCCCGCGGCAACGCAGGCCCCGCCCCCACGCCGCTGGACTGGATGAACTCCTTCAACTGAGGGGACAACGGACGGGGAGGGAGAGAAAGACATGATGGGGAAGAAGGAGGAGTGGGACACCGGAATGGAAAGATATGGTATGAGGAGGCAGGGAAGGAGGGAAGGAAGGAAGGAAGGAAGAGAAGATGATATTATAAACCCCACTGTGACAACAAGAGACAGAAATATTGCAGCGCCCAAGAGGCTAAGAAGGTAAATATATTGGGTTGTCCTCCCCCGTCTCCATGGCAACATTGGCCATGGCGCCGTTTCTGAAGGACGGTTTTAATTAAATGAGGTAATTTAACTTGAAGGCCATGAAAGCAGCAAAAACACCTTCAGACCATCAAAGAGAACAAATATCCGTTTGCAAACGTTGGTCGTTCGGCGGCAACAGGAGGAGGTCATGTGACGCAACCTGCGATAAAGCCGCCGTAAGAGGGCGGGGTCAAGGTAACGCGGTCACTCCACCTGGTTAACCAGAGACTGTTACAATGTAAAATGTACGTTTCCGGATGTTTCACTGCAGGGAAACAGAAACGTTGCGGCCACAGAACGTCTGATAAGCAGGTCGGTGATTAGAAGAGAAGCTTCGCTTTAGGAACCTCGGCGAGAGGCGAGAGACGTCCAGGAAGCACGCGGAACGAAAGAGACGGGTAATTAAATGTGACGCAAGCGACTTATAAGGCGGAAGCTTCTTTTGTCAAAAGAGAAACTTTCGGACGTTGGAGCACGATGTGATTTTCAAAGGCCGAAGAAGAAACGTGGTTCAGTTTGACGGATTCAGCCGAGCGAAGCAGGAAATCCATCCAACTGTCTTTAACGCTCACGCATTAACTCCGCCCTCCGTTCCTCCCCTTCCTCCCTCGCTCCTCTCTGTCCCCCCCCCTTCATACGCCCGGATACATTTTCCTCAAATTTGCTTGTTGGGACGATTTTATTTACATTTTATTCTCCGTTGTGGTTTAAATTCATGCTTATCCACACACACCAGAGAGCGGAGGCTGCTCGCTGTTACCGTGCCAACGGTTCTGGTGGAGACCCCCCCCCCCCCCCAAAACGCTTTCACCTGATGGAGTGATACAACCAGGAGAATGTCATTTTTAACCTCTTCATAAAATCTTCATAAAATACGTGGAATTTAATGTGAAAGGTTCAGAAATACGAATAGTGGAGGTGAGAGACGGTGTCTTCTCATGGGACACACATGGACACTCAGCGGGACGGATGCATTAAAACCCGCTGACCAGCTGGTCCTCGCTCAACAATCACCGTTCCGTGTTGTTTTGCCAGAAAACTAGAACTATTGAAGCAGCTGCTGAGCGATGCAGATGTGTCTGCAGCCTCCGACATTTATTTCATCGGACATCAGCGCTCTCCGTCTTCCTCCCCTTTGTCCTCCACACGCCGTCCCTCACATCGCTCCTCTGGTCCAGCTCTCCAAACTAAATCCCTTCCGAGCGGTCGCCTTTCACCGGAACGTGGTAGTGAGACTAAAGCAGGACGCCCGGTCGGCTTTGTGCCCAAAATGGAATTAGCTTGGATTGATGATTCTTTGATTTTCTATATTTGCAAATAATGACAGCAGAAATGTTTGAGATGTGTCATCGTTCTGATTTGAAGGAGCTTCTGTCAGTTTAGACAGTGTGTTATGAAAAAAATCCAGCAAATATACAGTGGTTTGCTGTTTGTGTCGTATGAATGTGTGAAGAGTTTGTGGATTTTGAACAACGTGCTGATTGATGCATTTTGTCTGAAAGCAATAAAACACGATTCACAGTTTGTGTGTCGCTGTTTTGAAAATGTGGTTTGAGTATTGAACGAGCGATTAAAAAAAAAGTACTAGTTGGTGGTTATTTAAATATTGAAAAGGAAAAAAAGTTAATTCTCATCAACCTAGAATCATTTTTCCTTTTGTAGTGACTTGAATAAATAAATCCTGTTGTCTCTCAGTCACGACGGGATGAAGAGCGCAGATGGAATCTTCTCTGAATTCCCTCCTTATCTTTTAATTGTGACCGTGCAGGTGGCTGAAGTGAGTCTGTAAATCAGAGTGTAAAGTGTGTGAGTGTGTGAGTGTGTGTGAGTGTGTGTAAGTGTGTGTAAGTGTGTGTTCACCTCATTGAGCTCTCGGTCCGTGTTGAGGAACTCTGTGACTCCGCCGATGAGCTTGGAGCTCATGAACAGCGCCTCGCCGTAGCTGGAGGGAGACGGGCGTTACTAGAGTGCAGTACATAGTACACATAGTATAGGGAGTACATAGTGTACACAGCATACGGAGTATATACTATGTACTAGGTGTCACTCACCGCGCGTTGAGGACCTCCCACTTTTCCCTGAAGTACTTCCAGGCGAGGTTCCGGCCCTGCGGGTTCCGGCCCACGTGGATGATGACGTCGATGACGTCCTGCTCCGGGACCAGGTCAGAGGTCAGGGACAGGTTGAGTAACCTAGGAGACGCAGGGCACGAGGACGAGCTCAGCGACCACCAGACGAAACATTTACATCTTCTTAAATGTTCACAACTGGAGATGAAAGCAGGAAATGTGCGTGACATAGCATGTTAGCATGCTAATACATGCTAGTGAATGCTACATGAGGTTTATTGTGAGGCCGAGCAGCACAAAACCTTTCACAATAAAACGCGCTCACTTTTGTTACTTTGTGTGTGTGTTCGAAGTTTGTAGCTGATTCTTTTCATTAAACCACCAAATCAATTTTCTCTGCGTCGACCCACAATCCCTCTGTGCTGAAACCACTTCCTGTCAGACCAATCAGTGCGTTTCTGGTGTGCTTTTTTCCTCATTGTGTGTGTGTGTGTGTGTGTGTGTGTGTGTGTGTGTGTGTGTGTGGTAGCTGCTATCTGAACATGCACTACTACCTCTCTGATTGCCGAACAGTTTACCGGGGCAAGAAAATCAATACCTGACACACACCTTACACACACACACACAAACACACACACACACAATATGTCTCACATGCTGTTGTGAGTGTGTATTGGATCTATTGCTGCATTTTTTTTCTCAACGAGAGATAGCAGTACTTGGCTCCAGATAAAATAGTCTGCTGGCCAGAATAACACACACACACACACACACACGCACACGCACACGCACACGCACACGCACACGCACACGGCCTCGGGCTAAAATTCACTTCAATTAATCTGTTTCTCTTTCAGTTCAACATGAAAATCAGATTACGGACTTTGAACTCAAGCAAAAGTATTTAACTTTATGTAACAACGTGAAAATTGCACTTAAAAACCAAGTATTAATTAGATGAGTAAACATGTTTCCTTTTATACCTCCTAAATCTACCTCAATGCATCCTATTCTATGACATCATCCCATCTGTGGGACCCTCGAGCTTCCAGAGCTCACTTTTGATCTAATTCAACAGTGAACAAATATCGCGGCCTCGTTAATCCGGCTTCCAGCTGTGATGAAGCTCCTCTGCACCACCCGCACATCGGACTGACACAGCGTAAGGAAGCGGAGCGTGCGGCTCGCCAAGGTCAAAGGTCATGGAGAGTGGGTCCCTGGTTATTCAAATGACACTCCTGAGAAGATGTGGATGCAGAGCAGCGACATCATGCTTCACGGTCTGTAGATATATAATCTGTAGGACCTGCTGGACCTCGTAGGGACCTGGAGGTCTACGCTGTGGCCGGTCCTACCTGCTGAGCAGGAAGCTGTTGTCAGAGCAGGTCAGAGCCTCCAGCAGGATCTTCTTCTCCGACACGGCGTCCGTGGAGTGGAACTTCATCCAGATGAACTCCCACACGTCCTCGTCCATCAGGCTGACCCCGGTGCAGTACACGATGTCTCTGATGTTGGGAGGAATCCTGCAGAAGACAAAAGCCCGGGACGTTGGTGCGAGTGAGCGGTTGCAGATGGACTCTTAAAGCAAAGGGTCTCAAACTCCGGACCGCCGCCGACGGGGGGGAGGGGGGGGCGGACGGCCAACTTTGGCGTACCGTCAGCGCCGGGCCCGAACCGGAACTGAGTTTGAGACCCTGTTCTCCTCTGGACCCGAGAAGGACAGAGACGCACAATTAAAGACTCGAATCACCAGCTGAGACTCCAGGAAGCCTCGATGAGCCTAATCGGCTTTGTGCTGAAACTCTTTTGAAGTCTGAACGAGGCAGCGGACACAACTTCAACCTGCAGGAGATTTAACACGAGAATGTTCTCTGGGAAATAGAACGTGCACACACTCACACACACACACACACTCACACACACACACACACTCACACACACACACACACACACACTCACACACACGCACACACTCACACACACGCACACACACACACACGCACACACACGCACACACACACACATACATGCATGCACACGCACACACATGCACACGCACACACATGCACACGCACACACATGCATGCACGCACACCCTCACACACGCACATGCACACACACACACATGCACACGCACATGCATGCATGCACACCCTCACACACGCACATGCACACACACACACACATGCACATGCACATGCACACACACACACACACACACGCAGCACCAGCTGGTTATCGGCCTGAATCATCAGTAAAGCAAAAATGTTTTTATTAGAATATGTAACGTAATGTGTCTTTGACCTAAATTATCAATAAAGAATATACAATACAGTGAGCTCAGCTGTGTGTGTGTGTGTGTGTGTGTTTTCTGAGTGAGTGCACAGCGAGTGATGCAAGGACAATTACATCATTCACCGACCTGGGAAATCAATTTAGAGATGCTCCACTTAAGAGCGAGCTTCAACACACACACACACACACACACACACACACACACACACACACACACACACACACACACACACACAGTGCAGTAGAAGTCCTTCTTCAACAACATCTGTCAACATCTGAAGTGTGTGTGTGTCTGTCTGGGCTTCTTGCTGATTATTCATCATGTGAAACATTGAGGAGCTCAGAGACGTCCAGTTCTGCTTCGATCACTATTTCATCACTCGTAATAAAAAATACCAGTAATAATGTAGAGTTGTTTCTCTGCAGCTCCAGAAAGGAGGAGCAGATCCTCCAGATGCTCCGGCCCCATTAAGTAACACACTGTGTGTGCGTGTGTGTGTGCGTGTGTGTGTTTTATCAGTCTGCAGAGCGTGTTTCTACATCCTAAAGCTCCGGATACACAGGCTCTCTCTCCCACTGCCTCCCGCTTCCACGGCATCAAACTCCCCCTCCCCCCTTTTTAACATTTTTCCACGGGGTGCAATTAGGGGTTAGACGTCTTGCTCAGGGACACTTCGACTTGGGCCATGGGACAGCCGGGACTCGAACCACCAACCTTGTGGTTCCCAGCGCAGCCTCGACACACTTCATCTTCTACTTTTTTTTTATTTCTACTTCTCCTATTTCTACAAAGCAGCCGGTTTATCGACGCGGCGCAGCTGCCTGCAGGTGTAGAAACACGCAGCTCATAGGATTAAAGAAGTCGGGGGTTAGCAGGGTCCGTTGTTACGCGGGGCCCCTGACACGCTAATCCATGGGGCGCTTCTCACCGATCCGAACAAAAACCCAGCGGGACGTGACGAGGCAACCCAGGGGGACGAGGCCACCGAAACGTTAGCCGCGCCGCGTGGTCACTCCTCGCCGTCCTGGAGGGGGGTCGCATTGCAGCGGGTGGATGCGCTCTCTTCATCGTTGTCTCTCTTTAGGGTTAGGGTCAGAGGTTGTTCTTCCTGAGGCAGCTGAAGAACTTCAACCTGCCAAAGACGATAATGGTCCACTTCTACACAGCCACCATGGAGTCCATCCTCTGCTCCTCCATCACCGTCTGGTACGCTGCAGCCACAGCCAAGGACAAGGGCAGGCTGCAGCGTGTCCTCCGCTCTGCAGAGAGGCTGATCGGCTGCAATCTGCCGTCCCTGCAGGACTTGTTCGCTTCCAGGTCTCTGAAGCAGCTAAAAAGATGGTAGCCGACCCCTCTCACCCCGGACAAAACCTGTTTGTGCCCCTTCCATCTGGGAGGAGGCTGAGGTCCATCAGGACTAAGACCTCCCGCCACACCAACAGTTTCTTCCCGTCGGCAGTCGGGCTCATCAACAGAGCCGGTCCCCCACTGACTGACTATAACACTCCACCGGTCACTCCCCCTCATACTGCACATGTCACTTTAACTGCAATTCATCACTTTGTCGTCACTTATTCTACTAACCCATTGCATTAGCATTTCATTTAACTTTATTTTATTACTTGTGCACTGTTGTCTTGTCTGTCTACTGTCGCACACTAACCGCCAAGACAAATTCCTTGTATGTTTGGCATATTGTGGCAAATAAATGTTTCCTGATTCCTGATTCCTTATTTTGCCTCGTGGTTTATTAATTTGAGTGTTATCATCATTATAATTATCTTGTCGGTTGTGATTAAGGGACAACAATCCAACATCTGTCTGGTTGAATTTGACCGTTTTGTTATTGTTTAGAAAAGAAAAAGCCAGGCTGACCTTTTCTCACGCCTCCAAGCGTCCACCGGTAATCTGCTGCGTAATGTCACACTGCTATGAACTATGGGTAATGTGTGTGTGTGTGTGTGTGTGTGTGTGCGCTCTGGATGGTACCTGTTCTTGTTGCTGGAGATCCAGTCAGAGATGTAGGCCACGGCCTGTCGGTGGCACTGTTTGTTGCCGAAGCTACACGCTAGCATGATTAGCTCCCTCTGCAGCTCCCTGCGGAGAGGACACACGCTCCGTCAGACGGGCGGCTGCCAGCCTCCCCCCTCGGGAGGAGACGGGAGACGGAGCTCGGCCTCCCCGGACCCCGCGAGCTGCAGGCATGCACCGATATGTTGTGTGCGGCGGGAGAAAATAAGCCATCAATCAGCCTCCACAATGCCGGGGAGGGGGTGTAATTATCTGCAAAGTCATAACTCTCCTTCATGGGCCACTTTGTTTCCTTCGTTCAAACCCCGTGGAGGAAAAGTCAAGCACCAAATGCATTATAAGGAAACAAGAGCTTTAATATTCTGTGAACTATTTAATTTGGCTGAAAAATACCTCTGAACACCTCCTGAGCATAAAGCCTCTTTAAAACGATTTAATCACCCAGGTAGTATTTTATTATTCGTACCGGCTGTGATTACATAACTTAATGAGAAATATAATTTAAAGCTCCACTGCAGGTATGGATCTGATCATAATGATGAAAGAGAGTTCTATATTTCATATACTGTGCTCGCCGGTTTATTCTTTGCACCACTGGCCAATCGCTCGCCGCTGGTCTTTACGTAGATACGACGGACAAACGTGAAATAAAAATAAATAAAAATATGTGCAATGTCACTCAACAAGGGTCTGAGGTGTGTGTGTGTGTGTGTGTGTGTTGCGCACTCGGTCTGGTAGGACGCCTGCAGCACGTTGCCCTCGCCGCCCGGCATGTTGGTTGGCCAACCCATCTGATGGTAGCGTGACGCGACCTGCTTCAGCACGTAGTCCTGTGAACACACACACACACACACACCGTTAGGAGAGGCCGTTTGTCCTCCCGCGGGGGACACGCCCCCGGGAGGAGGGGCGGCCCGAGGCGGCCACGGATCCCCCGGGCGCTTACACTGAACAGGCTGTACTCGTCGGTGCGGTCCAGCAGCTTGTCCAGCTGGTAGAGCGCTCGGCTGGCGGAGTGCCACGGCAGGAAGGACGGCTCCTCTGGCAGGTAGCCAATCAGCTGCAAGGGAACGCCCTGTGGGAGGTACCCGGCCCTGAGACGGAGAGGGGGGGGCGATAGGTCACGTTTAGGCCACGCTGCATCAATAAGTCGAGGCAGTCAATTACTGGTGGTAGAAAACGCTGGTCGCGTGTTAAAGCCGCATTCTCCGTAGTGACCAGCAGGGGGCGACTCCTCCGGTCCCATCGGAGTCAATGAGCGAATGACTCTACTTCTCTACCAGACGTATAAAGCGTCACAGTCAATATATGGTCACTTCCTGTTGGGAAAAACAACAACAACAAGACAACGACCGTTGAACAAAGATGGCTGTAAAATGTCCGTCTGTGCTTCAGTTTTCAGGTTTTGAGTCGTGCCGGTTCGCCTCCAATAGACTTCCCCCATTGTCTTCTATGAAAGCCACCCGCGTACCGGGGCACTGGGGTCCAGTTTATGTGAGCATATAAACTCACTCCCTGCTAACACACCTTTGTGCATCTCTCAATCTGTGTGTGTGTGCGTGTGTGTTAATAAACCACAACATGACGCATTAAGAAACACTTGCCCTCTGAATGCCACCGGAGCTATTTGGGTTACATCCACCTCCTCATGGATATTAACCAACGTCCTTTGTGCATCATTAAAGATTTATGATGTTTTTTTGGGGGGCGGGGCTTCTCTGACCTTCAGCCTCTCCCACAGCTCATGAATATTCATGAGGCAGGCAGTCGACGTCACCTCGGCGACATGATGTCGGTTATTGTCGCTCAAACCGAAGTGACGCGCTCAGAAAGTGCTGCAGAGGAACGCGTTTGATTTCCCAGCGAGGGGGGCTGACCTTTGTTGAAGAGCTGTCAATCAAACCGAGTGGCAGACCCAAAGGGAAGGAGGCAATTTCATGTTCTTCTTACCGAAATTGTTTCACGGACTGTTTTCAATTTGCAGAGGGTGTTGCGGTGGACTCGGGCCGTCCGAGGGCACGGAGCAAATCCATTACTGAATTATGTGCCATTTAAAAGGCACAGCAGGAGGCCCTTCACCCCCGTGTTTCCCCTGGACGGGACATTACAGCAGCACCTCACCTACTGGAAGGCCACCCTAGATCGCACTAACAAAGGGCCTTTATTTTGAAAGGAATTCTATATCGTTTCCTCCACCGTAGGGAAACTCGCATTTTCTAAAATAAAAAATGCGCCCGATGGAAAGTGTATTATGCGTCCTGTACTGGGAGGCGACTGTAGGACAGTTTGTAGAAAATGTTCTCCTCTGGAAGAAGCCCTTAAGGACACTTCATTTGTTCTTTACTCAAAGGTCATCAAGGACCTAAATGAGTTTCTCAGCACTTGGAGGCACAGAGGCACTTTTACTGAGACAGAGAACACGGGGAGTTCATCTGCTGGAGATAAGACTCGCTAAGTTCTTAGGAAACAGCTAAACTCTAAACTCACAGGCCGTCATATTTCCATAATCGTACCCAACCGCCGCACATTCATCTACATTCCCATCTTGCACCTGGCCTTTGAGGCCATTACCATAATCCATCCAAACGGCAAATCTGTTTACGGGGGAACGGGACTGAACGCGGAGGCGAGGGAGAGATAGTGGTCGCCATGGCAACAACGTTCCAGCCCCATCAATATGTTTGCAATATTTCTTTACTTTAAGACGCGTGGCGAGGTGGTAGCACGCCATAGCAATGCTCCCCGTCTCTTTAGTCTGCACTGTCCACCACCAGGAAATACCGAATACGACACATTTTGGATCACAGAATTATTTACCTTCTTGCATGAGATCAATAATGTGAGTAACTTAAGTTACAGCCTGTTAGCTTAGCATGAAGACTGGGTGCAGAGCGGCAGCGAGTTAGCTTAGCATAGCATAAACACTGTGTGTGAGAGCATGAGCAGATGATAGATTTTCAATTATCCTTCTTCCTGTCAGCTTGTATAGGTGTGTGTCTGTGTGTGTGTGTGTGTGTGTGTGTGTGTGTGTGTCTGTGTGTGTGTGTGTGTGTGTGTGTGTGTGTCTCCGGGTGTTGTCTTGCTAACGACCTCATTAACTCAAGGGACATTGTTAAGGGGCAGTTAATTGTTTTTCCATTAGACATTTGCAAGGCTCAGTGTAGAGCTAACGAGGGACTGCCGCGGTCACACACACACACACACACACACACACACACACACACACACACACACGCACACACAGAGGGGCGACATCCATAAAGACCCGACGTCAGCACTTAGCCGGCTCACTCCTCAGCGTTACGGCGCAAACAGTAATCGAACACATGGCTGTGTTCATCACTTACATGCTGCAGCTGGAAACTCATTTTAAAATAGTTATATAGGTTTTAAAAATATATTAATTGATAAACTGCTGAATAGTTTTTCTGAAATCCAGACGAGGATCAATAGAAATAATTTCTTTGCAAAGTAAAAAAGGTGCATTTATTGAATTTTTGTCTTTTGGGAACTGGATGTACACTTATTATAAGTCGCTTTGGATAAAAGCGTCAGCTGACTGACATGTAATGCGATGTGATTTAAAGTTGCATGAAATGGAAACGCTCAGTTAACGATTAACGATGCAAAGCGGCGCTCGCTTCCTGCCGGACGGAAGAGAGAGCGTCTTCTGCCGTCAGCGTGAACATCAACAGATCTGTTTCTTTTTGTGTGAGAAGCAGAACGGAGGACGACGTTGTGCTTTCTAATTCAACATGGCAGAGGACAGATGGCTGAGAGACGGACAGAGACAGAGGGAGTATATGGAGTTATGGAGACACAGTGTCACAGTAGATTTGTGACATTGCTTAAAAAGCTTCGGGCTGAAAACACGACAATGAGACACGCTGCACACTGCTGTCGCTGTTTGCTTCGCCTCTGAAGGCCTTGGCTCCGCCCCCCTCTCTGCTGAGGCCCTGGCTCCGCCTCCCTCTCTGCTGAGGCCCTGGCTCCGCCCCCCTGTTTTTCTTTGGTTGTAACTTCATGGTTCCACTCGGCAGTGAGGACGCGACAACGGTGTAAAGAAAGGGAATAAAAAGAGGAGCTGGATCTCCTCTGCGATCAGGCGGATGAGGGATCAGACGCTCACATCTCAACGTGCCCTTTGTGTGTGTTGTTGCTCCTCTCTGATCCTTCAACCCGTGAAACGCAGCCCGGAGAAAACTTTAGGATTATTTATTCCTGCTCCAGAACGTAACCAAACAATCAGTGAATCGGTTATTTCCATCCTGGCTCACGGGTTGAGTGACAGCCCCTCAGTCTCCAGGGTCTCTGAGGAGGAGACTGTAAACAGACTGAAAGTACATGTTTAGAAGACGACTCACCTGGCCAGGTTGAAGGCATCGTCAATAAGCCCCGCCCTGTTTCCAACGGTGATGATCTGCAAAAGAGGGAGACGGACAGGGGGGGAATTACCCTGCAATAAGACAGACAGACGGGCAGACAGACAGAGAGACAGACAGAGTGACAGACAGAAAGACAGACAGACAGAGTGACAGACAGAGAGACAGACAGACAGACAGAGTAACAGACAGAGTGACAGACAGAAAGACAGACAGACAGAAAGACAGACAGACAGAGTGACAGACAGAGTGACAGACAGACAGAGTAACAGACAGAGAGAGTGACAGACAGAGAGACAGACAGACAGAGTGACAGACAGAAAGACAGACAGACAGACAGAGTGACAGACAGACAGAGTAACAGACAGAGAGACAGACAGACAGAGTGAGAGTGAAAGACAGGCAGAGTGACAGACAGAGTGACAGACAGGCAGACAGACAGACAGACAGAGTGACAGACAGGCAGACAGACAGACAGGCAGAGTGAAAGACAGACAGAGTGACAGACAGGCAGACAGACAGACAGACAGGCAGAGTGACAGACAGGCAGACAGACAGACAGAGTAACAGACAGACAGAAAGACAGAGTGACAGAGTGACAGACAGACAGAGTGACAGACAGAGTGACAGACAGACAGACAGACAGACAGACAGACAGACAGACAGACGGGCACACACTTGAGGGTTGTTGTGGAGCTGTTGAATCAGCAGCTTCCAGTTCTGGAGGTCGTAGTTCACGCGGAAGTATCCCGTCTGGTTGATGTTGCCCAGCAACCAGGTGGCGTCGTCCATCTGTCCGACCCTGTGGGTCTCTGAGAGGAGATCGGACACACGAGTCAGTCGCCTCCTCCTGCGGGACCGACCGGCCCGAGGTCATGTGATGTGATGTGATGTCTTGAGAATCTTTCGTCTCGAAGATTTATTGTGGATACAAAATGAGCAGAATGAAGTTCATTGCCCGTCTGAAGTGGGACTAATAAGCCATCTGGAGATACGGACCCCCTACCTGTGTGGTTGTTGATCCAGATGAGGCTCTCTGCTCTCACGCTGGAGGCGTTTCCCACGGCAACCGTGAGAGGAATCTGCCACTGTAAACTACACAGAGAGGAGGGGGGGGGTCAGGGGGTGGAATTGGATTTGGTTTTATTGCCTCCATTGTCAGATGGAGAGACACATAAGAGAAAGAGAGGTGGGGGGGTCAGTTCGCTCACTTCCACCTCTTCAGATCAGATAATCAATACATAAAATGCTCCTTTATGTGCGGGTTTGGGCAATGGAGGCTGTTAGTCACACAGACTTTGTTTATTTGTTTGTTTGCTTGTCAGCAGGATCACAGATGATTGGATACTGACGGGAGGGGCGGAGCCAGAGCCCAGATGTTTTTGAGAGGATTTGTGTGTATATGGAAACAGAAGAAAACTGTCTGTGATTGTTTACATGAACTAGTTGTGTTACTCATTCAGACGAAACAGTGTGTGTATGTGTGTGTGTGTGTGTGTGTGTGTGTGTGTGTGTGTGTATGTGTGTGTGTGTGTGTGTGTGAAGAGATGCGACTGCATCAGCTCAGTAGGAACTAAAACACCTCCGAATGAAAACACCCATGATATCAATAAAAGTGACACATATTTGAATTACAGTGGATTATGATTGAAAACAATCCGATTTACACGATTAATTCATCCATTTAAAGCGTGTGTGTGTGTAGTGTGTGTGTGTTTGTGTAGAGTGTGTAGTAAGGGTCAGAAAGTCCAATTTACCAATCTCATAACAACCAGGTGTCGCTGTGGGCTTCAGCGGATCAATAATGCTGCCTAGCAACCAGTTATTTATCTGATATTTATATCAACATGTGGGACAGGAGTGAAAGCTGATTACACAAACACGCACACACAGACACACACACAGCTCGCACACACCGCAGAATGTGTTTATTAATGTTTGATCGGAGTGGAGGCTGTTTATTTTACCAACACTGAGTGTGTAAATAGTTTATTCATCGAAGGAAGAAACCAGCTGAAAACACACACACACACACACACACACACACACACACACACACACACACACACACACACACACACACACACGCGTGAGCAGGGTTAACACTAACAGATATCAACATGAAACTTCCCCAGTTAATTACTTTCATTATGACTATTAGGTTTTGTTTTCTGAAATGTAATATTTAAATATGCTAATGAGGTATTATCAAATTATTTCTATGCTGATTTGATTACGTAATGAAATAAATAAATCTGGTGCAGAATGGCTGTTTTTAATAAAAGAACGTTGAATTAATCAGTTTTTAACAAATATATATGAGTTACCTTTGTTCACGTGTATGAGAGTCACAAATATGAAAAAGGTTACGTAAGACATAATGTCTTTGTCTGAGTAATATTTACTCTTTACAAATGAGACAAACTGGACTCAACAAAGACAGTTTCTACTTCTTTTTCTATTCCTCAAGAGGTCACATTGGTCTCATTTCATTTCGTATTTGCTGCTTTTTCTTCTTCTCATTATGCATTTCATTACTTTGTGTCTTTGTTTAAGGAGCCTAGAGGAGGATATAAATACACTCACACCTGGACTCATGAATAATGCACGTCTGACTCTTCTTAAAGCTCATTAAACAAACGCCTCCTTGTCCTCCAATCAAGTGTCTGCGTGCGCATCAGCTGACTCTCTTCTCTGTTATGTGATGGACCAAAAATCAACGACAATCAACAATTCTTAGACCAAAAATAAAAAGCTTGTGGGGTGATTATTGGGCAATCATGGGGTGATTATTGGGCGATCATGGGGTGATTATTGGGCGATCGTGGGGTGATTATTGGGCGGTTGTGGGGTGATTGTTGGGTGATTATTGGGCGATTGTTGGGTGATTATTGGGCAATTGTTGGGTGATTATTGGGCAATTGTTGGGTGATTATTGGGCGGTTGTGGGGTGATTGTTGGGTGATTATTGGGCGATTGTTGGGTGATTATTGGGCGGTTGTGGGGTGATTGTTGGGTGATTATTGGGCGATTGTTGGGTGATTGCTGGGTGATTGTGGGGCGATTGTTGGGTGATTGCTGGGTGATTGTGGGGCAATTGTTGGGTGATTATGGGGTGATTGTTGGGTGACTATTTGGGCGATTGTTGGGTGATTATTGGGCGGTTGTGGGGCGATTGTTGGGTGATTGCTGTGTGATTGTGGGGCAATTGTTGGGTGATTGTTGGGTGATTATTGGGCGGTTGTGGGGTGATTGTTGGATGATTGTGGGGTGACTATTGGCCGGTTGTGGGGTGATTGTTGGGCGAATGTGGGGCGGTTGTTGGGCAATTATTGGGCGATTGTGGGGTGATTGTGAGGTGATTTTTGGGGGATTGTTGGGCGATTGTTGGGGGATTGTTGGGTGATTATGGGAGAATGTGGGGTTATTGTTGGGCGATTGTGGGGCGGTTGTTGGGCGATCATTGGGCGATTGTGGGGTGATTGTTGGGGTGATTATTGGGTGATTGTTGGGTGATTAGAGAAGATGTGCTGGGAAGCACAAGGTTGGTGGTTTGATTCCAGGCTGCCCCATGTTCCATTGCGAAGTGTCCCTGAGCAAGACACCCAACCCCTAATTGCTCCCCAGGCAAAAATGTGATGTAAGTCGCTTTGGATAAAAGCGTCTGCTAAATGACCTGTAATGTAATGTAATGATTGTGGGGTGATTGTTGGGCGATTGTTGGGCGATTGTGGGGTGATTGTTGGGCGATTGTGGGGTGATTGTGGGGTGAAGGGCTGTCAGTTTTTAAGCGTTGTGTATTCAGGAAGTGAACATCACTTAGATGCTAGAGAAACAAACACAGGACTTTGTTCCCCCTGAAAATGTCCACCTGAAGTACTTTTGTTACCTAAATATATTCGATCACAGAAACAGAATCTGGATGATTCGTTTTTTTAATTCATCGATTGTTGTCGGCTCGAATGAGCCAAACATTTAATGGCTGGAGTGAAACACAAAAGAGATTAAAGGAGGAAGAAATGAAAGAGAACACAAGGAGGGGGAACTATAAAAGGGCAGGAAGCGCTCGGTGAGGAGCTGACGAGGTCGGACGGATGTCAGATGTCAGCTGTGGTACGAAAACATGACAAAGGAAAGAAAAGAAGTGATCAACAGGTAAAAACAACAAGAGGAAAGGAGCTGATAAGTATTGATGGAGGCAAAAGTGGGTCGATAAAACATCCAAGAGAACAATCTCCAGAGATTGTGAAGGACGTGAATAAATCATCACGTCAATTAAATATGAATGTAATATAAATGATGTAAAGGTGGTAAAGAATGTGAAGAAGTAACTGGGAAAGTGCTTTTTCAGGTGGACTCATCGAGGTGTGGAACAAAGAGCGGTGAGGGGACACAACAATGTGGACAGTTGTTTAAATGCCAGGTAGTGTGGACACATTGTTAAGACTTTTTAGTTAATGAATTAGTTAATTTTATGGGTGCTGGGTGCTTTAATTCCCTCTCGATGCAGGACGCTCAGTTCAGGTCAAGATGGAAAAAAACACCAAGAGATCTTTGTTCAGACTGTGACTGTGTGAAAGTGTCACCTGTGGTTCCTCCGGAGCTCCGGCCCGTACAGGAAGTGCTCCTGGCTCACGGTGATGTAATGAGTGGGGAGCTGCTCTGATTGGTTCTTGCTGATGGTGACCACGGGGTAGCCCATTTGCAGGGTCCACCTGTCCATCATCTTCCCGATGTCGATGTCCCGCCCCTCCGAACGCATGGCCTGGAGACAAGCAGCCAAGACAGATAATCAATGATTCATCCACCACCAAAAACCTGGTAAAAAGGTAAAAGGCACTTAATTATATCAAACATGACAGTAACAGGAGCCCTGATTGGCTGATAGGAGCTAGTTAAAGGAACATTAATAACTAGGATGAACCTGAATCTAACCAGATAAATGAGCCTCGCTTCTGCTCAGGTTACCGTGACAACGGGACCTCCTCATTGCCAACGTCCACAGTCAAAGGTTACCTGAGACAATTTGCTCCACAGGTCGTCTCGGGCCGCGTTGCTGTACATGTGACTCAGCAGATAATCCTGAAAAGAGGGAAGGAGATTAAAGAGTTAAAAGACAGGATGTGACATCACTTGGTGGACCGCGGCTTAAACGACCTGCAGCTCCGCTGTCCACGGTAGTCAAATGTTTACGCTGCACACACACACACACACACACACACGCACAGACACAGACACACACACACACACAGACACACACACACGCGCTGATCTGCTGCTGGATCAGCAGTGTTTTATATAGAGTCTGCCTCTCAGTGGGTTTCTGCAGAGAAACCAGGGCATAGTGTGTGTGTGTGTGTGTGTGTTGTGTGTGCACGGGGAATCATACATATTTCACTGCCTCTCCTCAGATTAAAAGCTATATTTAACCTACTCTCACCTTACATCACATGACATCATCTTGCAGGATCTCCTCCAACCTCCTGGATAAAATCCTGCTTTGTTTCCGTTGATTTTCAGTTCCGGCTTCGCCAACGACGTCGTCGTCGTGACTAATCAGGGAGAACGTGAGCGGCCCCACGCGGCCGATGGACCAATGAGGCAACGCGCCGCTCATTCACGCCACTGACGTTCTCCTCGCTGTCTGTTAGCGGCTCGACGCGAGACACAAGCCTCCAACCCTCCAGAGCAGAAGTGACTCAAGGACACAAAGCTCAGATCCGCTCCTCGCTTTTCTCTCTGATTCATGTTTCATCACTTTGTACAACAGCCAAACCTCCTTTTTCTCCACCAAGGATCAATGCTCAGAGTTCTGCTTTGAACTTGTCCCCAAGTAGACGGAAGTGGAGCGACAGAAAAGTGAAAATCATTCCAAGGAACTTCTGGTGCTTCATTAAAGTGAAATGTTCTGCTGTCACTCTGCAAACGTCCCCACAGCTCAAAATCCCACATCTGTGCGTCAAACGGATCACCGGAAGCCGACGAGCGAGATTAGCAGCTTACATGTAGTCAAATGAAATAAAGAACGTTCGACTATCGTAGTATTAAAACGCTTCCAGTACGAAAAAACGCAAACACGGTAAGTCAACTGCTATTTGTTATAAGCAAATAACCTTATCAGCGTCGCTAATTAAATAATTGTGTGACTTGCGTGTGTAATATAAATATAGGTCCAAAAAACCCCTGAATGAACTCGTGGAAATGCAAAGCCTCTTTGTCCTCACATCTCCTTAAGCTCAACTTCGTGGTGTCTCGTGGAATATTAAATACCGGTTCTCCTGGATGGAGTCCAGGTCACTGAGTGTGTTTTATCATATTGCTTTACAGCAGAAAGAAAAAGCAAAAGCCAGATTAATTTACACATCGGCCATCTGAGGGCTCAGCGTGCTACAAACAATACGGGTTTAGCCCAAATCTGGATGCACAAACACTTAAACACGCAGCGTCTGTCTGAGTCACAGTGACAAACGATTTTCAAAACCTCGGCTGTCCCTCTTGTCGTTCATTTAGAAAAGACGTGCACAGGTGGACAACGTCAACTCACATTCAGTCCCTTCTGGAAGAGCGTCTGTCCCATCACGTTCGCCAGCATCCGGATCAACGCCGCCCCCTGAAGGCCGCGCAGAGAAACGCGCTTTCAAAAACAGGTGAAAACACGCTCTCGACTGTTAACGCCACACTGACCGATGACGTCGGTTCATAAAAGTTTTCCACAGTGGAGAACGACACCAACGTGGCATCGGCGTTCACCCGACGCCACGTTGGCTACCGGAAGTAAAGTATTCTAATGATTGCAGCGTGAATAACGAGAAACAGCGTTCATTTTTAGTGCTGAATTTGTTTGACTTCCCGTATATTTTCTTCAAAAGCACATTTTAAATCCTTTAGTCTGCTTCTTTGGGAAATATCGGTTTTGGTTTCCGAAATATTAAATATTATACTGTGCGCTCTGTGCGGCAAAGTAGCTTCAACAGCTTTGAGTTAAACTTAAGCAAACTTTACCGTGGACAGCAGTTGACCCCACGTTGCCGTAATTTCACTCATTTGGACAGTAAATACTATTTAACAATTAGATAACGCAATTACAATTCAGAGAAACAGTTTCATTACTTTTAACAGACGTAACTCGTTACTGTAAATAATTACACATTTTCAGTGGTTTGCAAATGAAAAATGGCTTAATGGTTCAGACTTTGGAGGGAACAAAGAGCCGGAGAGGACTCACTTTTTTGTAGGCAATCCAGTCAAAGACTCGGTCGATGTCCGCCGCCTCTTCCACCTCCTGGGAAATCGGGTGGGAGGAATTAAGCCCGTCCAATTGCATCACCTCATGAAGGACATCCGTCAGGAAGCGCTGCTTCTCCTGAACACATGACATGACATTACATGTCTTTCACCCAAAGCCACTTACAATCAGTGCATTCAACCATACGGATACAAGAAACACACCAAAACACACACATGTTGGCTTTTGTCTTTTAAGGAAACAATGTGTTGACACTTTCTCTGGATCGAAACCTTTGAATCTTATTCTGAACCAAAACCATAACCACACATTTTAAGCCTGAAACATAGTAGTCAGATGATGGTCAAGCACCTAATGGACGACGTTGGTGACTTTTCTCTCCAGCTCAGCTCTTACTTTGATAAGGAGTCATTCAGTGGTTCATTAGGCCATTCATCCATTAGCTTTAATGGTGTCATTAACCTGGTTCATTTGTAGATATTGAAATATCTGTTTATCGTTTTCATTTGTTGTTTATTGCCTTCTCACTAGTTACCGTTAATTCTGCGTCTTCTCATTTCCATCGCTTTATTTTTCATGGTTGTTCTCTTCATTCGTTTGTTTTCACCGCTTCTTTCTTCATGTCATTTAATCCGCATTTCCTCTTCTGCCTGCTTTAATTTTTGATTCTCTCCTTTTCATAAATCCTCTACTTCTTTCCTCCCCTCCAATCATTCATTCCCGTTTCCTCCCGTTTCCTCCCGTTCCTGTTTCATCTTCTCCCCTCCTCTACTTTCAGGGTTTTAATAGATATGTGCAAACACGTAGAGCTGTAACGAGGTCTACATAAATTACCCTTGGGATCAGGCTAAATCCGTAGAAGTACGGCTCTGTCTAATTCATGGATTACAGTGTTTACTATGAAGATTTGGTTTTAATGAACTACCATCTTGTTAAGCAATGGTATTGTTGGCTTACGAAGTTTTAGTCGTTAATAAACTGGATGAACAGGAAGTTCTTCTATATTCACTGTATCTGCTGGGATCTGGCTAATTCTTGGTGTAGCGTGGCTCTGTGTAATGAATGGTTTAAAGTAGATTTGGTGTTAAATCCAGTTAAACATAACTTTCTTTTACAGTTTGCAGCGCCGGCTGGGACAGGTTACTTCTTGACAGATGGGTCTATTTTAACCTGCAGGAAATATTCACCTCGCTCAAAAGCATTAGAATGAGTTCAAACGTACGAATGTAAATAGCAAGAAACCAGATCTAACATCTGGTGTCAGATGGTGTCGGCGGGTCGTGAAAGTTCCTTGTTTGTGCCTGAGAACGAACCCACTGATTCTGTGGTGACACCGTCATAAAGTCCGAAAACACACTTCTTAACAAAAGCAATATGTTTTATTTCTCACAGTGTCACACCCGTGCAACCTGTTCTGTTTCATAATTGTGTGTACTTCTATGATGGTGTATTTGTTTGGGACCCTTTTGAGTCCTTTTAAACAAGGATTCCATCCGTTTCTCAAAGGGCTGCGCCGCAGCACCGTTTTTCTGTAAAGGGTTTTGCATTAAAAAGCATTTTGCGAAGCCTCCAGCAGAGAGGAGCTCTCTTGTAGTCTGCTATTTACGGAGCACAGAACACAGCATTAGCATGAGAGCGCTCCTCTTCGCCGGTGTACCAACCATCATTTACCAAAGGAACATAGAAATGTGACTTTTAGTTAGTTAGCTCGTGGTAACTAGGGTTAATCTGGGGTTTGTGAAGATGAAAGGAGGTAACTGGGGTTATTTGGGTGTAAACTGGGGGGCTGCATCCCATTGGCTGGATTAAAGCTGAAAACTGGATTGCAGCTGGCTGGCGTCTGCAGAGCCTCCAGCAGCACTTTGAACCCAAATATTTGTCGGATAAATCTGTTTCTTGGCCGACGGGAGTGAATGTGAGTAATTCCTGATCCCTCCCTTCAAATGATTGGAGTAATTCCTGGGCTGAAGACGGAACGCCGCTTTTCATTTCGGAGGCCGACAGATGCACAGGTAAACAGGGTGCATCGTGGGACTCCACAGATTACACACTCAGCTAATTAGTTAAATGGAACATTTGGACACAACCGAAATGACTCGCAAGGAAGACAAATCTGAGTAAATGAGACATCAGCTCTAATTAACAAAGACTGAAAGTCACCTGGAGAGAGAGGGGGGGGGGACGGGGGGGGGGGGGGGGGGGTCCATCTGCTCCACGTGGCCATGATGGACCAGAAGGACCCACATGTGGAGGTCGTTGTAAACACTCGCACACACAGATGGAGGCACGTCTGCTCTTTACTCCATCCCTCCTCTCCTGCTCTTTACTCCATCCCTCCTCTCCTGCTCTTTACTCCATCACTCCTCTCCTGCTCTTTACTCCATCCCTCCTCTCCTGCTCTTTACTCCATCACTCCTCATAGTAACCCTCTACTGTTTATCTCAGACTGGTGTTAAAGCTGTTTGGTATAACTGTTGGCATGGTTGGTATTTATTAGTATAAACGTTGGTATGGTTGGTATTTATTAGTATAAACGTTGGTATGGTTGGTATTTATTAGTATAAACGTTGGTATGGTTGGTATTTATTAGTATAATACTATTTATTGGAATAACTGTTGGTATTTATGTCATCGGAGGTCGGCTCCAAACCAATTATCTCTGAACGCGTCCTTTGTCCTTTTTTGTGATGGCCAGATGCGATACGCTTACTTACCCGATAAGTGCTTCCCTTCTTCACCTTTGATTACCCCTTAGGGTTGTACGGTTTGACAGTTTGTATTTTGGTGCACCCCCCCCCTCCCCTATAAGAGTTTTAAAGGTGTGAAAGATACAAAAAAAACAATCAGAGGGAGACTCCACGAATGTACGAGTCATCTTTTTGGGTGGTGTAATTTTTAGGCTGCAGATTGTTGGCAAAAAAACCAACGTAGTTGGTGCTAGAAATACACCATTTATCTGAAAATGAAAATGTAAGGTACACATGTCACAAAAACATGACTGAACTTTGGGCTTCTCAGGGACTCTGGTCCCCTGAGTCAAAGTCCTGTGTTCGTTTCAGCAGCATTCAATAACATTTAATGTCAAAAACAACGCGTTTCCTTTTTCTCGGTTTCCTGTTAAAACGAATTGACTTTAAATAACCAACGACGCGGAACAACACACACTGTTTTTTTTTTTCGTCGATCGGAGTTTAATTTCCCATGATTCCTTTGCTTTTGTTCCTTCTCCCGCAGCGCCGCGACTCAATGAAAGCCGGTGTTTCAAACAATCTGCTTCATCGGGATCGAAGCGCTTTGTTCGTATTAAAGTGCAGCTGTGCAGAGGCTGCAGCGTCGTGTGCGCGGGAGATAAGACGCAACAAGTGGAATCACAGCGCCGGTGGAAGCAAAGAGGAAGAGTGCTGTGATTCAAAGGTGTCGTTGAGTTGGACCCGTCGGGGAGGTGATTGTGTTTTAATGTGATTGTGATTCGAGCTGAAACCAGTGTGAAACAATCTGTTCAACCCGAGCAGCATGAAACTAAACTGGACGTCATCCGCTGCGGCTCGGAGGCTGTGGATCATCTACACTCAGAGCAGCAGCAGTCGGGACCTCCTCCTACTCAGAAGACACTTTTATCTTTCTTCTCATAAACAGATGCTGTTCATTGGTTATGTAAAGATTTATAGAGAATTTTAAGAGAAGCCAAGAGGCAGCAGATCAGCAGAAAGGAGGATTATGAAACTATAGAGGATCATTTCATCTGAAAAATGCAAAGCCAACAATGTTGGAAAAGATGTTTTTTTTTGTGCTCCTCAACATAGAAACACCACAGCGCCATGAATTATTTGACAATCCTTTAGGTTCCTGTAGGTCTACGTTGCTTAATGGCTGTAAATAATACAGTAACCAGCTGACCTTTCTTTGGATGAACAGTCAGTCGCTTTGGTTGGCAACCATGGCAACGGAATTCTAAAACACAGCCGATTTAAACCGACATGCTTCCCTTTATTTGGCTCGGTGGACCGAACAATGCAATTCAAAACCATGTGATTGGATGATTCGAACCAACGTTCACCTTCAACTTTGAGTATAAAATGTAGGTCTATCGATATGTATTCATCACTGTCAACAGATAGACGTGTAAAATGAGTAAAACCAGGGGAACAAAGTGTTGAGTGATTCCTCCGCTAAACCGTCGATCTCCATTAAAAATGGTCCCTACTAACACACCAAATGTCAAACACTCAAAATGTGGATTAATCCGCCGCAGAAAATAGTTCCCCGCAAATACCCTATTTTCTGTTTGTTTGAAAAAAACACAGTAAGCAACTGTTAATCAAAGACAAGAGACTTTTGTGAGAGTTATACATACATATCTATATGTACATATATGTATATATGGGAGAAGATGAACTCTTCAGGGGGAAGCAGTTTGTTGTGGCTCAGCGCCACAGACAGGAAGTAAGATGGCATTGAGAGGGAGGGATTAACACATCGTGGCTTTTGATTGGTTGACAGTAAGAAAAGGGTCAGAAAACCCCGTCTCTGTCCTCTCCGCAGTGGTTTCTAACAATGCAGATGTTTTCCATTTACTCTGCACAATGGCTTTTGTTTCCTGGGGATAATCTTCAGGCCTCATTCCATCGGAAACGATTCTCCGCGTCACTAGAACGTCGCCGATGGCAACAATCCCAAGACGGATCCTCCACTTCTCACCCGCTTTATATTTAACATCTCAAGTCGGTATCTTTTATAAAATATCTGTTTTCATTTGATTCAACCCTCCGTGAAGACAAAATAAAATAAAATAAAGTCCACATCTGACGGCCGAGTTGAACTTCTAAACTCACCGGAGAGAAGAAGAGTTATTGATAAAAGGTTATTTCACTCACCATGTTCCACTTGGGGAAGAGGAAGTCGGTGCCGACGTACTCGAAGAAATGAGCGAAGCCTTCTTTCAACCAGACGTCCTCCCACCAGACCGGAGTCACCAGATCACCGAACCACTGGGAGACAGAGCGGGGGGGTCACGTGATGCCCCCTCAGATTGAATTCGTTTGTTTGAGAAAAGCCGACTGGTTCAAACACAACAGGAAATACATCCGATTTTCATTCATCCGAGTTATTTGTGAATACTTTGCTTTATTTAGTTCCCTCAAACTGATTTTAAAAAGTCAAGACCTTTAAGCATTTTAAGATAATAAACACGGAAACCTCCAAGACCAGACAGATCGGTGGTGGAGACCTGTCAATCGACGTGTAGCCCCGCCCTAAAGCGTCCCATTCTTTTCTGGTCTGTGTGACTCTACATGGACCGTAGTTCACTAAATCAACCTCATGCTGTATTGAAGAAGACTTGAAACTGAAGACTGAGACCATAAACTTATAACGTTTACTGAGGGAATAAGTCGTCTATTGGGACCAGAGGAGGTCCGACGGGATGCTCAGAGTCTTCGTCGGGGCGCCGGGTGCTGGGCGGGTGGCAGAGGAGCTTAAAAGAAGAAGAGTTCACCCCAGAATTCACCTTAAATCGAAGGGGCCACGCTGCAGTTTCACACCATGGCCCAGTGTGTGTGTGTGTGTGTGTGTGTGTGTGTGTTTCCACACGTGCGCACTAACTCCCTCCCCTGTTTGGCGGGTCGAGTGCGTCCGGGCAGGGATTCAAACCGACCACCCCGTGGGAGCTGGCGGGCCGCTCGGCGGAGACCAAACAGCAGATGATGCTCCGCTGACGGAGGAAAAGCTCCTCTCAATAATATCTCGTTTTTGAATATTTCATTCATGTAATAGAAGCAGGCTGATGAGGTGACAGCATCATTTACTCACTTCTACACTGTGGCTTCGTTCACTCAGGTTAAATATCTATATACTTTGTATCTAAACTCAACACGCTGGCACAATAAATGAGACGTCTGCATGTGATGGATTTCGCTGCAGAAATGACTTCAGGTCCATAAATGAGGAGGACGTTTTATCAGATAAATGTCAGCGACATTTTTAGTTGAATTATTCAATTCGGATCAAGCAGGAGGAAAAAGTCACCTTTCATCTTTTTGATTTTTTCATTTAACATGACGGTTCGCGTTTGATTCCTGTCTAATGGGACGAATGTTGGAATCGGGTCGGTAACGGCCGTCCTCCAATCAGACCCGGCTAACCCGCATGTCCACGTGTCCTCGAGCCAGACACTTAACCCCACATTGCTCCTGCAGTGTGAATGGCAGGCCCTGGTGGCTCTGTGTGTGGTAGCTGCTGTCATATGTGTGGGAATGATGTCGCGTAGTGTCAAAGCGCTTTGAGCGGTCAGAAGACTAGAAAAGCGCTAAACAGGTACAGACCCTTCACCATTAAACAGGACGGCGCCGGTACTTTGTGTCGGCGCCCACTGACCAACACAAAGATGATGAAGTTCACCCCGGAGAGCCGATCGGTTCCACATGAGAGGAGCTGCTCCTCTGCGCTCGTCTGGTGGAGCGATTCAATATGACGACTGATGACGTCCCTGCGGCACGCTTTGTTTTCATTACGGTCCGTCGTGTCCCATCCTGCTTCAGCCCCATTAAAACTACCAGCCAGAAAGAAGAAAAGCCTCCAGTGGGCCGGCGGTTCCTGCAGGGAAAGTTGACTCGGGTCGCCGTGGCTTCCACTGATGATTTTGCATAATTTTGCATAATTTTTCCTGTTTGGGGAATTTGTGGGGGGTTTATCATCGTTTTGTCTGTTCTGCTGTATTCTTCAGATGTTGCATCATTTTGTTTGCTTGCCGGTATAATTTTGTAATATTTTTTCTGTTTTGATGATTTTTTAAGATTTTGCATAATTTTATCTGGTAATTTTTGTGTTTTCTCAAATAAAATATCTGTCACAGGTCATTTTTAAGATTTTCTTTTTTCATTTCGACAAAATTTACCAATATTTTGTCTGTTTCAGTGAATATTTCCTAATTACCATAATTTTGTCGTCTTTATGTTTTTCCATCATTTTTCAGTTTTGTGTTTTTTCAACAATCATTTTGGGCTTCAGGAAACGTTACACAGTTCAGAAGTGTGCAGGCGGATTAGACTCTCAGGCTTCACACTCTACATAAGACGTTCACCAGCTCATAAGATGCAGAAACCAGATGCACCACACTGTGTGTTTCAAAGCCAGCATCTTCTTTAGCAGAATATTTTTTGCTACAACACCAGTTATACCTAGACAGGAAGTGGCAGTTATTTACTGCGGTGCCTTCAATAACCTCCACCAATTAGAGGTGGTGCAGTCTGCCAGTTACCAGCGAACACGTAACACCAGGAAATGTGAATTTTAGAGATTGCTTTGCAGTTGCTGGCAAGCTGAAAAATGAATACATTTTAAAGTAATTATGCAATGAAGCACTGAGTTAAAACAAAGAAGAAAAGTCTCTCTCTCTCCGCCTTTGATCATCCTCCTCTTCCTCCACTCATAAATATTCATCCCTCTCTTCAGCGCAGGGACGCGAGGCCTGGTCGCCGTTTGGCACAAATACTGTTTACATCAACACATCTGTGAAATTAGAAAGAGCTCCGCTGTGTCTGCGGCGCCACGCTCACCAATCGTTTCAGAGTAACACGGTAGACCGACAGAACCTTCAATTAAACTCACTGGACTAAAAAACAGTACATCGGGGATGGACCACTCGGGGATAAGAAAGCTGGATCCAGGAAGTTTTGTGGCCATCGCACCATTTATCTTCACCTACGATCAAACCTGAGCACCTTAAACCATCTGGACTACTTGGACCTTGTACAGGACCTGGTCTAAAGCTTTCTGGATCAGTTGGATCCACGCTGAATGCCAGTATTTGGACTTATTCTTATCAGGCAGATCCAGGAAAAGAAACCTGGTGCATCTGCATGGGTGGAGCAGGATCAGAGCTAGGAGTCTTCCTGAAGAGTTCTGGACCAGTTCAACTTGGCTTTTTAAAGAGTTGGAGGCAGGACAGGAATGTATTGTTGAGTTCTAAGACACAGTTCTGCATCATTTGGATCCAGATTTGTGTCCTTGGTGGACCTGGTGTTCTGTCTGGGCCCACAGTCTTAGGACATTGGACCACTTCTATTCTGAGAAGGTTGCTGCAGTTTAAGCTAAGAGACTAGAAGCAGAATCCTGCCCGTGTTGAACCTTGGCCTACAGACCTGTTTCTGAGATTTGGAACTTTTAGAACCTGGGCTAAGAGTTCAGGATCGAAAACCTAAAGATTAAAGGTTTCCAGGGGAGCTTGATCCAGGATGCTGCAGATGGGACTTCTTAAAATGAAGTCTTATTCAGCCTCGAACAAAGTTCAGATTATCTTGGAAAGTTTGCTCTTGTGGTGCGTTCACAGGTCGCCAAAAACCTTCGACTTCTAAGCGTCTCAAGCTGGTAAATCACAGTAAGAGATGAGACGGAAAGACACATTTGTGCAGGGAGACGGATTGTGTGTCTCTTAACTCTTTGACTCGGATCATTTCTCTTTGTCTGGTCGTGTTCAGAGTTCTCATCCTTCAGTCCAGACGGCTCGACAGCGCCGACTGGCACAACCAATCCGTCACAGCACCGACACCTCTGATTTACAGCAGACCTCGGTGTGTCCCCGTGTGTGTGTCCCTGTGCGTGTGTCCCCGTGTGTGTGTCCCCGTGTGTGTCGACTGGTACGTCTCCACAAGAGACGGACGGAGAACACCAAGAGATGAAGTGGAATGCTACATAGAAAGTACACACACACATGTGTGAGGGGCTGTTTAGCGTTTCATATGTGTGTGTATATGACAGCAGTATGTATGTATGTACGTGTGTTTCAGGCGCGTATGTATCATGTTTTATACATATACATTTTTTTCAGAACCATCCTTAAATATAGAGATGTTTCTATCACGTGGAGGTTATTTTCATCTGGTTTGATCTGGTGCGGAAGCTGAGCTGTCACATCCAATTGAATGTTTTATTATTGCGCTGAAAGCGTCTGTTTTTAGTCCAGTGATCGTTTGTGAACAGATTCTGCTGAATATTAACGTGAAGTTAAAGAGGAGGAGTTTTATTAAAGATTCCTCGTGTGGATGGAGACGGAAGTCTGAGCATCAGAGAGACAAATATAAACACAGAGACAGAGACGACGCCTAAATATAGAGAGATACAGACAGGTAGAGAGACAGAGAGAGGGGGTGAGACAGGTAGAGAGAGTGAGAGAGAGGGGGGTGAGATAGGTAGAGAGAGAGGGGTGAGACAGGTAGAGAGAGTGAGAGAGAGGGGTGAGACAGGTGGAGAGAGAGGGGGGGTGAGACAGGTAGAGAGAGTGAGAGAGAGGGGTGAGACAGGTAGAGAGAGGGGGGGTGAGATAGGTAGAGAGAGAGGGGTGAGCCAGGTAGAGAGAGTGAGAGAGAGGGGGGTGAGATAGGTAGAGAGAGGGGTGAGACAGGTAGAGAGAGTGAGAGAGAGGGGGGTGAGATATGTAGAGAGAGAGGGGTGAGACATGTAGAGAGAGTGCGAGAGAGGGGGTGAGATAGGTAGAGAGAGAGGGGTGAGAAAGGTAGAGAGAGAGGGGGGGTGAGATAGGTAGAGAGAGGGGTGAGACAGGTAGAGAGAGAGGGGTGAGACAGGTAGAGAGAGTGAGAGAGAGGGGGTGAGATATGTAGAGAGAGAGGGGTGAGAAAGGTAGAGAGAGAGGGGGGGGGGTGAGATAGGTAGAGAGAGGGGTGAGACAGGTAGAGAGAGAGGGGTGAGACAGGTAGAGAGAGTGAGAGAGAGGGGGTGAGATATGTAGAGAGAGAGAGGGGGGGGGGGGGTGAGATAGGTAGAGAGAGGGGTGAGACAGGTAGAGAGAGAGGGGTGAGACAGGTAGAGAGAGTGAGAGAGTGGGGGGTGAGACAGGTAGAGAGAGAGAGGGGGGGTGAGATAGGTAGACAGAGGGGTGAGACAGGTAGAGAGAGTGAGAGAGTGGGGGTGAGATAGGTAAAGAGAGAGGGGTGAGACAGGTAAAGAGAGGGGGGGTGAGATATGTAGAGAGAGAGGGGTGAGGCAGGTAGAGAGAGAGAGGGGGGTGAGACAGGTAGAGAGAGTGAGAGAGAGAGGGGTGAGACAGGTAGAGAGAGAGGGGGATGAGACAGGTAGAGAGAGTGAGAGAGAGGGGTGAGACAGGTAGAGAGAGAGGGGGATGAGACAGGTAGAGAGAGTGAGAGAGAGGGGGGGTGAGATATGTAGAGAGAGAGAACAATGAGGTGATTTATGGCTCTTTGTATTAAAACGAACTGGATGCAAACAAGTTCTGCTGTAATAATAAATGATCCACTTTGAACCCAAACACTGCAGATATCCTTCACACACACACACACACACACACACACACACACACACACACACACACACACACACACACACACACACACACACACACACACTAAGTGAGTTTTTCCTTGTATCTGTGTGTGTCCTTGTGCGGATGAAACAGTTTCATAGTAAAAAACGGACGACTGAAGCTGTGGATTTGTTCCCTCAGTAAACATCACGTTGGGTCAGAGACCTTTTCTCTGCCAGAGAGAGAAATCACACGAGTGTAAATCATTTGTCCTGTTTCTGACTTTCTTTCTTTTAATGAATCAACCAAAAAAAATCAGTGAATAGAAAGTGTGTGTGTTTATTAGACGACACACACAGCGAATCCACAGCTTTGTTTAACCTGCGATCAGCACCCCCCCCCCCCCTCCCCAAAAACAACTCCCCCTGACCTGCAGATGTTACCTGAGCTGCAATCTGTGCTCCGTCACCTGCACATCTGGGCAGACATCCTGTTTACCACAGCGAGACACACACCTGGTCACACTAGGATGCAGAAGGACACACACCACCTGGTACCCCGTCACGTTGCTTAGTAACCGCTTAACACAGAAGATGGCCGCCTGCATGGGGGAGGGGGGGGGGGGCATCATGTGAGGACTCCTTCATATCGGTCATGTGACTGAACTCCTCTTCAAGGTGATCCGACAGTTATCCAAGCGCAGCATCATCTTATTGATCAGCTGAGTGAGGAGGACAAACCCACGTCTCCCCCTGTAAACTCCACCCACCTCCAGTGTGTGTCTGTCTGTGTGTGTGTGTGTGTGAGTGTGTGTCTGTGTGTGTGTTGTGTGTTGTGTGTTGCAAGAGGAGACAAACATCACTCCTTCGTTTCCCTTCCTTCTCACTCCGAATTTATTTAACGTGGAAATAAAAGTCGTTCTCTCATTGAAGCAGAGAGTTTGAATCTTAATGCGACACAAGATGAAATAAGAACCGTGGAGTTGAAACAAAAACACTCCTAATAATCTGAGTCACAAAGTAGAAACACATTACAGGCGGGATGAAGAAAACCTTCCACTGGTGATATTCACAAGAGCTCTTCTCTCCTTCTCTTTGTCTCCTTATCTCCTTATCTCCTACACTCGCTCTCTCTCCTTCTCTCCTTTCGCAACAAAAACCTTCCCGTCTTGTTCCGCCTCATCGTGTTCGTCTGCCTGTCACATATTCAGCGTCGTACAGTAAAAACAGGATCTTGGCGTCTGCTGAGAGCCCTCAGGGGGACACAAGGACACAGAATCCCTTTAGAAGGACATTCCAGTGGAGGGACGCTCACAGAGCCGCACTCCAAGGGTCGTGTCTGCAATTTACCAACACATGAAGCGCCTGTTGACCCTTTGTTTAAAGGAAAGGAGTAAAGGAAGCAAACAAAGGGAGCAGGAGCCTCACTGAGGAGTCTTAAGAACATGCTGATGTCCTGAAAAGGATCATTTCTTGGTGGCAAACGTGGCTTTTTTCCGCTTGCGGAAATCGGAAAGACACCCGGCAGAGCTGTTATAGTGTTAGTGACAAAATAATTAATTTCACAGTTCAACAAATCTAAAATAGAAGTAAAAGAATTGTGCAAAAAGCTGTGACGGCTCGAATTAAACTACTTGATAGTGAAATGTTGAAAATATTTTTCTCTGTAATTTCACAGCCTCCATTAGCATAAATGGGAAATAGCATTCACAGCTATATTTTCATTATCGCCTGAGACTAATTATCGTTGTGCGTTTGTTGGGTTAGAATAAAACACAAACAGCCACAGAGGAAACAGCTGTTTCTACGGAAGCCCTGAATGGACAAAGCATGTCCCGTGAAGCGTCTCCTCTCTGCACAGTTGGACTACATATGGTCGACTTTAGTGGAGGGTCTTCGATCGCCTCCAACCAGCTCCGAGTCACAGGGTGTGAAAGCAACCGGCTGAACTCCCCCTACCTGGTGGCAGATCTCGTGGACGACCACCATGGTCACCTCCATCTGATAGGACGACGACGCCACCTCGGCGTCCAGTAGGATCTTCTGCTCCACGAAGACGCTCAGCCCCCAGTTCTCCATGGCGGCGTAGGGATGTTTGGGCACCGCCAACAGGTCTGGAGAGCAGACGAGAACAAAAGCGTCACGGCTTTTACACGCTGAGCCGAATGTTAATGAACTCCCCAGTCGGCTTCATCCGCTTAGCGCGCCGCCGTTTCAATAAAAAGATGAGTGAGCGGCTGCTGGCGGCAGAGCGGATCCCATTTTGGGTTCAAATTAAACTCGTGAGTCATTTTAACAACCTGCCAACGTGTCCTTTTATGCCCACAACAGCAGTATACAGATGTTTGGTATAACGGCACATGCATCTGCACGGGAGAGAGAAGAAGAGAGAGAAGGATCTCCATAGCTGAGGAGGAGCTGAAGAAGACTCCACCTTCACGTCAGAGTGAAGAAGAACTAATGCTTAAGATAAAGGTCCAGTTCTTCATTAACGGTGTTGGTTGGTATTAAAGTATCTCAACAGCTATTTGATGGATTAACATCATATTTTAGCGACACATTCATGTTCCCCAGAGGAGAAACCCGATCATTTCACTTTTATTACAGTGTTTCCATCATGGCTGAAACATCTCTGCAAGTGTTGAGACAAATCCGTGAGATATGTTGATGCTCTGAGCGATGCGTTAATAAACAGGTTGTCAGATAACAAACAGGTTAATAAACAGGTTGTCAGATAACAAACAGGTTAATAAACAGGTTGTCAGATAATAAACAGGTTAATAAACAGGTTGTCAGATAACAAACAGGTTAATAAACAGGTTAATAAACCAGTAACTTCACCAGTTGCATAAAATCCAAGATGGCCAAAATCGCAGAACTCAAGCCGTCCACCTCCATAACTCCGCCTCCATATAGCGAGAGATGTTAAGAGGAGGTTCTACTACTACGTCCGTTGTAACAACCCAGTTTTTTTTTTTTTTCAGAGCAAACCCCTCCCGACCGCTCTTTCTCTGCAGCTGTCAATCATCTCGGAAAAAAACCTCGACATACCGCTGGTTTGACGGCTGTCAATCATCATCACAAGACCCGTAGCGTTGTCAGAAACACAAAAACAGAGTTTGTGGTTGTGAAAGCGGTTGAGTGCTTCCAGTATTCCCACATTTTACAGCTGGAAACCTCGTCGATGGAGAGAGAGACAAAGGGTGAGACAGAGAGCGAGACAAAGGGACAAAGGGAGACTCGTCGCCCGGAGACATAAAAGCAGATGCTGCTTTACTTTTATGATCACACATTCTGTTCTCACTTTTGTCCCAGTTTCACTGCTCGAACAAAGAAATAAACACGCACACTCATGTTTATCCTCATTATTAATTCAGTTTACTGTATAAGAGCTACTCTGCTCTTCAAGTAAAAGGAGTCATTTGTCCATATATCTTAATTAAGTCAAATATATATGCCTGAACATTGACAGTTCATATCATGAATAAATGATTGGAAACCAGCTCATTAATGCACAATGATGTCACTGATATGCAAATGAGTGTCGTCTGTTTGTACCAACTTCTCCTCTTCTGAGGAGGAGAAAGAACTTCGTGAAATACAGAAGTTACCGTGGAAACACAATTCCCACAGCCAGCGTCCAATCCGCTGCCAGCCCTCGCTCCCCTCCCCCTTCGCCCGATGTGATTGGCTGACAGCTTATTATCCACCTGACTGAGGCTCAGACAGCAGAACTGATTGGCTGGCTGGGTGGAGGCGACGTGATTGGTTTAACCTACGGGGGATATGCAAATCAGCACGTTGGGTTTATTGTGGAATATGCAAATTAGACGTGATTCTCGATGGGACCTTTAATTTAAAAGGAAATGAATCGGTTTATTTTGCTGCACAATGAACCTTCCGGAGGATTCTTTGTCACCAAACACACGCCTGACTGATCCGATTCTCTCTCGTCGTCCTTCGCTCGTGGGATCACTGACGTTCTGTCAGAGTTGGTAAATAACAATAATAAATAATCCATCTGCTGAAACACTGCCTTTGTGAATCAATGAGGAAAACAACAGTTTGACTTGCAGCTCAAAAACGTTCATAAACCTTGTGATGAGAGCGAGAGGAAACGCCTCGGTACGAATGAGGGTGGAAACGCTGTGGGAGGTGTGCGCGAATGTCTGTTTTCAGATTATTATTATCCAAAACACGATATTGTTCTTGTTTTGGTCGACGGCTCAATCATACCATTGCAGAGTGTTAGTCTGAATATGATCGTTTGTTTTGCCACTGTCTTCCTCAGTGAAACGTTGGTAAAAACATGCTGATGAATCAGAAATCCTTTACAATTACCTTTATACATTCATTCACATTCCTACAATAATCAGAAAAACACAAGTCATCCTCTTTAGAGACCCTTGGTCTGGGACAAAATCCAGGAAGGACGTATCACAATTTGTTTCTCCCCCTTTTTTTTCCTGCTATCACAAAGCTCTAAATACACATGTTGGTAATTACAAGTCAGAACGGTGATCGTGTTGGAGTCAATCAGGCCCCTTTCGGTCGCCGGACCCCCCTCTCTCGGTCTGAGGAGGTTTAGGGGCAGAATCCCTTTTTTGTTTTTGTGGATCCTGAAGAGGCCTCCTGTCCAAACATCCGTAGAGTCCCGACGGAACTTCAAACGATCCCACTTCTGACTCCAAATTGTTGTGGAAGATTTAGCGCAGACGATCGGTAGATAAGAAGAAAAGGCCAATAGGTTTTTCTCCTTTTATTTCCTTGCAGGGAAAAAGGGTCCGTGTTCAACTACGTGCTCAGTAGACGGCCAAGAACCTTCCTCCTCACAACAGGGCAGTTCTTCTACCGACAGACAAACTCGTTGTGTCTCTACAGCCAGGAGTCAGTGTGAGACACTCCAGCCTAATTCTTCTTCATGGCCGCACCATCCCAGCAATTTATAAACTCGTTCGTCCAATGAAACATTTTGAAGGGTCACATACATTTTTGCCATTACAGTTCACACACCACCACACTGCCAATAAACCAGCCAGACGATCCGGATGGTTGGAAGAAGGACATAAACCTCTCGTTAGCTTCACTGGAGCACATTTCATAGTCCACACTGGGACTCTCATTAGGGGAAGAGCTCAAGGCCGCTAGCTTTAGCTGGATGTGGGGAGGAAACCCTCCTCGGGTTACCAGGGAAGCCTGTTAGGAGCATGAAGGAGTAATGGTGGCAATGAAAACTTTCAGTTGCAATAATTCCTTGTTATGGTATTGGACATATTATCCATATGACATTATGTTTCCTACAAAGGTAGTTTGTTGAAGCAGATTTTTAGAGGCACACCTGACGGTGGCTGTTGTTTCGTGCTGTCGAGGGAACGACGCTCCTCATACTTAAACGAAGAAGTCTCACCCTTAATGTGTCTGTAAATGACCGAGAAAAGAAAGAAACACATTCCAGTGTAATTCACTGCTGCTCGGAGCAATGCGAGTCTCTCTCTGTCTCCCTCCCTCTCTTCCTGCCTCCTCTTGGCCGTCTGCAATCAAGTAGTCTTTATGCAAATGAATGCACAGTGGCATCACCAATATGCAAATGAGCATCATTTTTCCAGTTGTTACAACTTCCAACACTTCGTCTTTTGAGGATAATAACCGCAGATAACTCGTGTTACTACCAGAAAAAAAACTCCAGTTGCGAAAAGTGAAGCCGTTAAAGCTGCATTCTGTGTAGTGACCAGCAGGGGGCGACTCCTCTGCTCCCATAGACGTCTATGAGGAAATGACTCTACTTCTCTGTAGTGACCAGCAGGGGGCGACTCCTCTGCTCCCATAGACGTCTATGAGGAAATGACTCTACTTCTCTGTAGTGACCAGCAGGGGGCGACTCCTCTGCTCCCATAGACGTCTATGAGGAAATGACTCTACTCTGTAGTGACCAGCAGGGGGCGACTCCTCTGCTCCCATAGACGTCTATGAGGAAATGACTCTACTTCTCTGTAGTGACCAGCAGGGGGCGACTCCTCTGCTCCCATAGACGTCTATGAGGAAATGACTCTCTTGATTTATTCCCTCAGTAAACACTGTAAACATCAGTTTATGGTCTCAGTCTCTAGTTTCAAGTCTTCTTCAATACAACATGATGTTCATTTAGAGAATGATGGTCCATTTAGAGTCAAACAGACCATAAACCAGCTTTAGGGCGGGGCTTACTGTGATTGACAGATATCTCCCATAGACGTTACGTGCCGTCTCTAGGTCCTGCTTTGTCCACATATGGTCACTTCCTGTTTACTGGTTGTGAAAGAACAAGACGGCGACAGCGCAGCATTAACAGAATGTGATCTTACCTCAGTAACGATTCTTTATACTTCTCTCACGGGTTTCTCCTTCAGTGGTTTTACTGAGGAACCAAAGTTCTGCTACACACACACACACACACACACACACACACTGTGACTCCTCCCTCTCTGCCTCTCCACAGTCAAGATCCACTTGTCCACCAATTATCTTCAGCCCGTTCAGATAAGAGCTGCTTCATATTCAACAGGCACGAGGAGAGAGAACAGAGGAGAGTCTCTGAATGTTAAAAACGCTACCAGCAACACGGGGGGGGGGGGCACCCACCTCCAGCACACAAGTAAAACCTGCTGCTGGAGTCTGAGATGTTCATTACACCCCAAAATACAGAATAGACTGGATAGTGAAGGTTCAGCTGAGCCTAAAGTGAGAAGAGTTTGGCGGGGTTAGTAATTTCATTTCCTCGGTGTGGGATCAGGTTCTGCATCCCAAGAAGACAACCTTCTGAAGGGGGAGAGCTACTCATACATTCAACTCTTACCCCCCTAAAAAGACAGAATGAAGCCTATGTATATGTTGATTTCACACTGTACATTCACTTATATTCACTCTGCACTGTATCTGCTCTCTTGCACTTCTGGTTAGATGCTGAACTGCGTTGTCTCAGTATCTGTACAACCCGATGTAATCTAACAGGGACAGGAAGTGATGGCACTGAATCATCAGCGGGCTCAGTAAAAGGACTCTGTGTTCCTTGGATCATCGCCGGTGGACGTCAGACAATTAATCGCTCTCACGCAGCTCCCGACCGACCCGGGGTCAG